GCAGAAGCAGCAGCACCAGAGATGCCTTCTTTTCACAACAAACAACAATCAAAAAGAGAGGGAGCATGCAAATCTGCACATCTGCTCACCGACTAATGGAAACCCATGCACAATGTTGGATTGCCGGTGAAAAATCCTTGGAATTTTGTCTGTCCTTTCAACCTTCAAGAATCGAGGAAAAATTGGTCGCAAGGCCTTGAAGTTCCCACAAGTTGAAGAATTATTGTTATTCAAAGTCTTGAGAGTAAAAATTAGAATAGAATGCAAAAATGCATCGGTGCGTCAGTCGCGATCATCGCACGGTGGGCGCGCAATTACTAATTGCCCATTCGAGCGACAAGTTATGCAACCGGTCTGTCACCGATCTTATCAGCGGCTTCGCTCATAAAGCGACTCCCGGCACTTAATTATTCCACTCTGGTGATCCGCAAAGTCAACGTCATCTCAGCAGAGCGAACACACACGCCGACTTAATCGGGTGGGCAGTGCATTTTTGCTCACCTGCGGCAGGGGCGAGATGTTCACGTCGAGAAGAGTAGGCAAGTCGCTTTGTCTCACACGCCAATGCACTCTAGATCTCTAACTAGGGTCCAACTTTGCGATGTTGAGCGAGCTATTCGCCATCCTCAGCTTATTCCTTTGAATTTCAATCTATTGGTGGAAGCGCAGAGTAAAATTCTCAACAGTTTTTAATTTTTTAAGTTTAATTGTATTTTTAGCTAGTTATTTTAATTTTAATTTAGTTTCTTTTTTTAGAATCAGCAGATTTCATTTTAAATTTTAAAAACTGATTTTATGTTTTTATTTGTTTCTCATTAAAAATATTCCAGTGCAACAGGAAAAAAAATTAAAATCCCTATTTAGACTCAACCCGCACCTGCACCAATTGCGAGCCTTTTAAGCAGACCGGTGGCGGTCCAATTATAAACATATCCCATTTGGAACCAGCACAACGGCAACTACGAACGTGTTACGTTTCAATTTATCATTTTGCAATTAATTTCAAGCTCGCTCATCACCTGCCGCAGTCAAACGATTCCACAGAAGCACCCCTCGACCTTAATTGTGCTCACTTCATTATTATCGTTCTGTGAGACGCCGCCGGCAGCCAAATAGCTCTCCGGCTCCTTTTTTTGTACCCTGAGAACATGCGGCGACCACTTCCCTTCATTTATCACCTGAAACAGAATAGGATAATGCGCAATAGACAGCCGCGACCGCGCGGGCCTAGAGCGCGGCGAGGAAATTATAAATCTTTTGCTTTCCCGCATGCGAAACGAGAGAAATGTGCAAATTTGGCGATACAAGAATAGGAGTGAATTCGCTCCTCTCTCTCTATTGCGAATAAATTAATTTCGGGCGCCAACCGGCCTTTATCTCTCGCGCGTATACAGTTAGATAAGTGGCTGGTGAATAATAGCCATCACACCGCAGGAATTCAAATTCAGGTGCTTCTCATTTGCGCATAGACATGTTTATTTATAGAAGAGCGGAACATTGTTGGTCCGCACGCACATTAGAAATTTAAATTTCTTCTTTGTGTGATCAACCGTCTTTGAACTTTGTGCAGTCAATTGTAGAGCAACCGCATTTTTTATTATTTAAATTTATGATAAAATCTATTGAGGAAACGTTACCTTATATTTGGCCCTATTAATATTTGTGGCTTTCTTGCTTGTTGAAAACCAAAAGGCAAATTAAAAGTGAAAAAGAAATTCTAAAAGTTAATACAAAATGATTTAATTATTAATTAGTAACTAAACGTGTTTATTTTTATTTTTTTGCTTCACTAATGTACTTATTTTTAAAACAAATTTTTCCATTGTTAAATTACGATAATTATAAAATATTAATGTTCCAAGCACAGAAAAATACTTATGAAAACTTAAAAGTCTGCAACACGTAAGTGCTTTTTAATTAATTTCAAATCAAAAATTGTTTTCAAGTGGTTATTTTAATTTTTGGGATTAAAATAGTAAACAAAAATTCAATATTCTCATTTCTCATCGCCCTCGTCGGTTGATTGCACATGAAATGTAGGAATCAATGTAAAAAAAACGACGTGCGTCTTATACACTTAAGGCGTAATTGCTTTTCAAGAATCTCGATCACGAACAAATAATTATGAGAGGTCGTTGCATTTGGCTTTCAGATCATTTCTCTGCTTTTTGTGCCCACTTTTTTATATTCATACGCGCGCGTTGCCCACTTTTGTGATGATTTATTAGAATCATTAATCAAATGGAGTTGAGCAATAAATTATTGTGTTCTCTCGTGTTGCGCCCAGCAGCTAATGCATGAAAAATGCACTTTCCTTGCAAGAGAATGTGGCGTGGGGATTAATACAAGCCGCAGCGCATCTTTCAAGCGCATCAAAAAAACCTATAACATTGGCAAAGGAAAGGAGTGCAGATATTGATGCACAGCAGCGTTTCTTGCGGGGCGAATGGACTATGTCGAAGAAGCAACAGCGAGTGAATTTATTAAGGAAGCAAACGGATTGCATTCATCAATTTCAAATTTGATAAGAGCGAAATTAACGTAAAAGTACTTTAAAAAAGTTTGTTGTACACGTATTTATTTACACGTATTTTCAACAATCTTAAAATAAAATTTATAATATTTTTTTTAGCCAAATTTAACTTGTAATAATGTTTAAATTGAATGTTTAAATTTTAATAAGAAGAAAGAAAAATTAATTAAAATTTTTAGATTTCATTTGAACGGTAAACTACAATTATTAAAATCAGTAATTCATAAATAATTTGAAAGCAATATTATCATTTTTGAATTTTTTATTATATGATGGACGTAAATGCCTATAATCTGGAATCTAGACTTTCAAAATTAATGCTTTCCAGATAATTTTCTATTGAGAGACAAGATGTTGGAAATCTGTAACCATTGTAATTAAAGTTATTTTGAAAGAAGAAAAAGTTCTTCAATGCTGATAAAATATGTAAAAACTAAGAAAGTTCCTATTTGACCCGGGAAAGAAAATTGGCCCTTCGTTAATGAAGAATTTCCTCCGAAACTCACGCGTATCGATTCTGCGCGCGGTCGGGCGGATTTATCGGTTCTCCAAGTTGATTAGCGTCAAATTACGGCCAATTTTGGTCAGACGCGGTGCGCACATTTTTGCAAGGCTGAGCGCAGCAGCGACTGATGAGCGGCGCGCCTGACTTTTATTACTGCTAAATTCGAAACGGACGATTAAAATTCAAGATATGTGTATATAAAATAAATCTCGGGAGTAATTGGAAGACGAAAAAATCGCGCGGGCTCGTCCTCTGGTGCACGTCTCTGGCCGAGGATTTGAAGAGTGGGCCTGTAACGAGCACTCACCGGCCTTCAAAGCCGCCCCGCCCCCTCCACCGAGAGCAAAACTTTTTTATACATTGAGAGAGACCAAGGTAACGAAAATCGCACGGCAGCGCAGGAGCACACACACATCATAATATACAAAAACGCCCAACGAGAGAAAGAACGCGAGGGAGCGATCGAGCGGGTGCCGGTCACGCCGATTTCGCATTTTCCAGTCGGCCTTTTGATGTTGGCAAACAGCGGAGGAAATGCAATTACGCCTTGGGGGGCCGAATTCGGGTAATGAGCATGCGAAATTAGCAAACGACCTCATCTCTGGCAAACTGGTCCGTCGCATAACATTATTTATGCCGCAGAGTCAAATTATGCAGCGGTTGCTGAACAGCTAGGTCTGGATATACAACAGGGCTATTATTTGGCCGGGCAAATCTGGCTAAGCCAATTTGATACAAAATGTGATTTCAAGTTTGCGTTCAGCAAAAAATTGCTGTATAGTGGCTTAAATTAAAATTTATAATATGGAAGTTTTCGAATTGCAACAGTGAGACCAAAGAGACTGATTAAAAATTATGCGACAAAATACATTGAGAATGCATTCATAGCAGTATTTTTTTTTGTAATTTATATTTGAAAAAAAAACGTAAAATTATTTTTAAAAGTTTAATAAGATCTCGTTTGATTTCATACTTCAAATTAAAAAAAAAAATGTTTACAATTTTCCAAAATCATAAGAAATTTTTCTCATGACCTTCAACTAATTTATCTCGCAGGAATTTCACTTATCTTCAAATTAACCTTTTTTCCTCAAGCAAACTACTGGAAACTGGATAATTGCTAGTCTTATTTAAAAATTATAATATGTCCGATCTGTACAGAAACCTATACTGGCCTTAAAAAAGCTGCCCACGCCCCACACACATTAATTCGAACAATATTTGCTGTTAATTAAAACTCGTCACTTTTTGAGCAAAAATGCCATCAAAGTGTTTTCGAATGAAATGAGGCTTGCATGTTTACATTGAGTGTAATTACCTGTCAGTGAAGCGCGTTGTTGATTTAATTTTGAAAAAAATACACCGCGTGCTTGTTTTACGATTTTTCGTCTTCTCAAAATCGACAGAGTCGTTGTGAAAACAGCGTAAAATTCAGCAGCGCGAAAACACTCGTTTTGAAGCAAGCAAGCGAGAGAGACGAAAGCTGGCTGCTAATTAGCAAAGCAAAAAGAGCGGCGGCCACTCTTGACAGATAAAAAGATGGCAGCTGATTAAGCGCCGCCGCGCAGGGGCTCATTTTTTGACGGGAAAATATCCGCGCGCGCTCATTTAATTGCCAAATAGGGAGGCGAATTTTTCGTTTAAATAATTCAGCAGCCGGCTTTTGCGGAACCTGTTTGTGAATCCAGAGGTGCCATGATCGTGTGTGTCCCGCCGAACTATGTGATGTGCCGCGACGGAGATCAGTCTCATCTCTCTCGGCTGGTATAATTTTAGCCCCCGATTTTATTATACCTATATCATTTCAGGCAGCTCCTCTATAGCTGTCTCCATTGTTTCACTTTTGGCGGGCGTTCGAGCGAATTTTCACATGCAGATCTCGCGCCGCCGAGATTTAGTGTGAGAGATTACATAACTTATTCCACTTTACAACCTCACAGCGACGCACACCACTGTTTGCCTATTATATATCTCGCGTTTTGAAATTGTAATTTCGGTTTGTGTAATATATTATATGTGATGCTGCTGGTGTTCGCAGGTGAGAATTTTATTTAATCAAACATTAAAAACACTTTGAGAGAGGGGCAAATATATAAATTTCAATGCCTTGGAGAGGGAGATAATTTCTGTAAAAATTAGAGAAGCAAAGATTACATAGGATAATGGTTAGGGTTATATTGCTGAATTGTGTGATCCGAGGCAATTTGCAAAACAGGGTAAATAATCTCGTCGAGAGCATCTTTCATCGCCGAACGTCTGCGCTGAGTAATCGCGTGACTTTTTGTACTTTGCCAAACTGTGTTATTAAACAGCGCATGTGATGATAAATTTCCAAAACTCGCATACCATTATATATCAAACTGGTAAAGAGTTGCGATGATAAATAGCACACGGCGTGTTTTTTTCGCGAATACTAAACATATATACCCTCCAATTGCCCTCCAATATGCTGAAGCTGCTTTCAAAGTTAATTACACAAAGAGCCCGCATCGATCAATCAGGGTGGGAGAACAAACTAACCATTGCCGAAATTTCAAATAAGCCAAAAATCTCTCAACCCTACCTGAATTATATAAGTTTGTGGAAGTCACTAAATTAAAAATTTTGGAAAAATTTCAAGGAAAAATAGTTTTAATTTTTTATGAAATAAACTTGTTTCATCAAGTAGTATAAAATATTATATTTTAAAAAATAATTGAATATTTTAAGAGGCGGGTTGAATTTTCTTTTAAAATGACTTTTGCAACACTTTTATGACACTTTTCCAATTTCAGGTACGCCCAATTTGCTAGATCGCGGGATTCAAAATGTGCGGCCCTCTTCATCATAATTGATGGCGATAATAACAGACATACCTAAGTGATAAACGAGGTGAGCACTGGGTCAATAAAAATGCTCAAATGGGAAAAATGCCCTCTTTCATAAGCACGCGGTGCGGCAGTCGGCAATATAAAAATTCTTCAGGGGACGCATTTAATTGTCCATTATGCCGCGTACATAATTCGGCAGTAAAATTTTATTCACTCATTCTCCACTTGACCTGCCAAGTCGAATTCATGTGCGGCAAAATGTGCGGGTGCATTCATCCGAGACTTTATATAGTGGGACATTTTTATTGCAAATTCCGAGGAAAACTATTTTAATTTTTAATTTAAGACTTCTTGCACAGCAAGATTTTAAATTTTAATGAGCGTTGATTTGTTTAGTGACTTCTTCTTCAATTGAAAATCGTTAAACAGCCGAACACTGTTTCTTCCAATGTTTAATTTTTTTCAGTCAATTATTTAATTAAATAATATTAAGCCATGTTTATTCAGTTTCAAAATACGCACTGGGTTCACGATTTGATAACAGATTGATTTGGAAGTTAATTTTTATGCATATTTACAGATTCACTAAAATTTAGTCTCTTTAAAAACAAATCAAATTCTTCACTTGCTTCAAATATTATTAAATAAATTTGATAACGATATACGCAATTTATAATTTATATTTCACGTATAGTTGCTGCTGTAAACGATACGACCCTGCGTACTGGGCAGGCAACCCGCACCTGTTAAAACCTCGAATTTCTATAAAATCTATTAAAATAAAATTTCAATTTATTCTGGTTATTTAAATATTTCATAAATTGTGACTGACTATTAAAACAAAAATGCCATTGTTACTTTATGTTGATTATTTTGCTCACTAATTTAAAAATTGCAGCCGTCCCTAGTTTATCAAGAAGCTACCGTTTCCAAATTGGCCTCCAAAGAAAACATCTTGTTCATCCGCATTCACCTCAGAATTTTTTTCAAATAATGAAATGATTGCGCATAAAAATGCAATGAATAATAATGTGCGCGCATACAAAGTATATAATCGTGTTTGTGTATGCGCGTCTCGCCCGCTAGGCATAGTGGCGGCAAAATTGCAAAAATAATAATTTTTCATTGCGGCTGAAGGAGTTCATAAAGGGGAGCATAACTTACTTTGTCATCGTCATTACGTCGGCCGTCCAGCCGAGTGAGTTCCACCTCAAGAGGATGCATTATTATTATTATTATTCTCGGGAGAGAATTATAAAAAGAGAGGAGACGGTTTGGCGAGCGGCCAGCTCTGTCCGCAGGTATGGCCAAAAACGCTATTTTGCCCAACCAACGGCACGTCGCCGCGTCTGCATAACATTTCCATACGAATGCGCGTTGTCGCGGCTATTTACTTCTACATGTTATTTAGGCAACATGCAAATAAAAACGCCAAATGTCTTTTGTCTCGTCGCCGAATCGCTCTTTTTATTTTCGACGTGGCAGGCGCGCATGCTAACTTCTCCCCTGCGGACAATGTACCGAATCCAAATTCATAAAATTTATTAGCCGGCGCACTTGTGCCGGACTTTTGAAGGTCTTTTTTTAACACGACTGCAATCGCTGAGACAAAACTGTTTCGGTACGAATTGAAATTGATCATAATTATTATTGATTAAATTAGAACTCATTTGCTGTTAATCTTAATTAATTTTTAGGATGGGATTACCAGTTTCTATAATTAAATAACTGTAAAAAAGGAAATATTTCTCGATAATTTTAAATTTTATTTTAAGTTTGTCAAGATTTTTAAATGATAATCATAAATAATTTGGTACTGAAGAAAAGGTAAGCTAGGAGGAAGAAATATTTGAAATTTTTTAATAAAAATGTTTATCTTGTACTCTGTCAAGGAAATTTTGATATTTCCAGATGCAAATTTTTGGAAAGGTTAATTTCTAACCATAGATAAAATTAAAATATTTATAAAATTCACGTGATTTTGAATTGATTAAATGCTTGCAAAATATTAAAATTTATGTGTGAATCCAACAATCCGCAAAATATTTTATAATTATCAAATTAAATAGATTCAGTACACTCAGAACAGTCTCAATTGAAATATTTCAGTTTAAAAATATATTTTTTTAACTCCTTGTGAATTTCTTTCTCCATGCTATCAATATTCGCAACAAGCTGATGCAAAATAATAAATGACTGAAAAGTTATTAAGGCTGTTGTTTAGCTACGATTGTTAAACTGACGTTTCTTTAATTACACACCCAAGTGATGATTTAAGCCCCCTCCTCCGAATTAGCGAAACGAGCTTATTAATTTGTTTGTGCGAAGGGCATTTTAGTAAAGGGATGAGATAATGATGGCTCTCGGCAGTGGGCGCCCGTTTTTAATGTACTTTTGACGAGCACGGCAGGATGCATGGTTGGCTGGCAAAAGTGTGTGCATGCGTTTTGGTGCTTTCTGGACGCAATCATTTTTGGCCACCGACTATGACATGGCACATCTGCCGCGCGTCTTTTTATTGCAACTTTGCTTTCAGAAAAACCAACAAGCTGCTGCATGTAAACAATGGACGGGCCAGCAGATTCTCTCACACAAGAGTGAGAGGAAGGCGCAGCAGATTATTTTATTGCAGCAGCCCGGCGAGCGAGCGGCGGTGCGAACAAAAAATTAATCGCAAAATCTACTTGGTAGTAATTTTGAAGCATCAGCAATAAAAGCGGCACCTAAAACTTTTACACACATACACTCTTTGCGTTCTTTATATACACCCAGTTCGTGAATTTCCAAGAGCAAATTTGCACTTTGTGGATTAAATTGTTGTGAAACTGGAAAACATTTCCTGTCTGCAGCGATAAAGGGGCAGTGGCTGGAAGAAGAATATTTAGTAAATTTAATTCTGCGTAGGTTAATGAGTTCATTGCTAATTTTGTTGTTGTTATCTTTGAACTGTCTCAACGTTTGAAATAGAATAAAAATTAAAGCGATATCTTCAATCTCATGAAAATTAATTTGACCGTCATATCATTTTATGGTGCATTTTGGAGGTAATCGTGGAATTATATTAATGCTAAAAGTAGCTTTAGTAAAACTCCGTAAATCTGAAACAATATCACATTACTGTATGGAAGCAATTAAATAATAAATATCTAGGATTTAACTTATTTTAATTAATTTAATTACTATGGATATTATATTTTTAAGCAAACTGATATATTTTGCTTTCACAATGCAAAACTTTGAAAATAATATTTAATGAAATAAATGGTATGCAAATTATAAAAATTTAATATTAGTCAAAATTTAAAAACGTGCTTGGATTTTAAAAATACATAAAATGTTACCACTTTTACTTTATGCAACTAATTAAATATTTGGAAAAATCTTTAAGTTGACAATAATTAATAAAATAAATGTTTACAAAAATTTAATGTTGCAGTTTTTTTGTCCAAACCCGCATTGCACTTTTGTCAATACGGCGTTTCAACAAGGCGCTGAAATCCTGAGAGCGAAAAATTGACACGACCCCACGCTGCTTCAGCGCTGCTGCAAGTCAATCGCGATTGAGCGAGATGAGCGTCAATCAATCACTCACCTCTTTTTCTCTCTCTTATCTCTGCCGACCACAGCACAGGAGGGAGCTGCACACAAAGGTTTTGAAGGTTTGATTTTGTGGCAAAATATTGTTATTGGCTGATGTGATCCCAGTTGCTGATTGCAGGATGAAGCATTTTGATTGCTCTCTTGAAAAATGCCAACGCATTGTTTGTTCCAGATTTATTGCGCTGTTGAAATTAATTAATTACTGCTCGCGCAGAATGAGTTGACATTTATTGTTCTGTTAGGAATGTGGCTTGATAACTCATGACTCTCGCTGACTGCTGACAAATTTTTCGTTGTTCATGATGAATTACTCCAGTCTTTTCTCACTCGCGCGCTTGAGAGAATAATGATTTTAATGTTTTTCGCATTTATATTTATGTCTCCAACGTTTATTGCTTCAAGAAATGCATGAACAAATGAACACATTCAAACTCCATAAAGGTCGTTCAGAAAAGTGCCACCTCATAAAAATAAATTAAATCGTTTCATGAGTAAAAAGAAAATTGCTTGATTAAATTTTATTCTTAATGTTGAAAGGGTGAACACGCTCATTTTTCTCAGCGGCCGTCAGCCGCTTTCTACGAACTTTCAATTACTTCTCCTTCTTTCAGTGTTTTTTTTTTGTTATCCATAGAAAAGTAATAAAAAATAAACAGCGCTGGTGAAGTCATTTTATGGAGACCTGAACGCACGGTTTCAGAGAAAATCGAATTGCGATCTAGTCGGGCAGAAGAGAGCCGAAAAGATCTCTCGTTGGTGCAGAGTGGGTTATTTGAGTTGTTGGCCCGAGGCTTGCTCGCGCTCTCCGGCTGGTCGTCCGATTGTTCGCTCAGTCAGTTCACCGCCGTAGATACTGTACAAGAAAGCGTACTTAATTTGCCGACCCATTGTTAAACTTAATAAAGTCTCAATGCCAATTTTGCAAGAAAGGAATATTTGCCGCGCGGGGAGTAGGTTGCTATTATGGTAGGAGGATCGACGCGGTATTGTGTACGTTGGAATTTGCACCAACAAAGCATGAAAATTAAATTTGCTTTCCAATGCAAACAGTAGAGTGCAAAAATTTACTTCTTGGAAGGTACGTTTTTTGTGTGGGGGTTATTGCACGTTTAAAAGAAAGTTTTTCGTTTTACAAAAAATTTTATTTCACATTGCGCGACGCACTGCAAGCACCTTTTTGATGAGAAAAAAAAATATATACCGTCTGTCGTGAATGGTCAGCAAATTTCAGTTCGGAAAAGGCACGCTTTATTATCTTCTGCCTTATGGACAAATACAGACTTGAAGAAAGTGTAAGGGTTACAAAAATTACGGCAGCTACTTGCAATTATTTACAATGCTGATTGAATATGTTTCGTTTCCTCGCGTTCGCGTGCATCATGTCATTTATCACAAGAAACGTTGAAATTGAAACACCTCATGCGTAAAGGGTATAGGCCGTCTAACAACAAATATCAAACTCACTTGCAATGATTTAAGCCAACAAATCACAGAAATCAATTATAATTTTTCAATGAAACAAAACAGTTCAATAAATAATTTTGTACACAGGAAACATTCGAATTTTGATTCTCTTCGGCACTAAAACCTAATTTAGTAAAAATGCCAGTGGAAAGTATTTCGACTGAACTGCGAGAAAAAAACTCCAATCCGATTTTTATGCTTTTTCTGTAAAATCGCAAACTCAGTCATAAATTTAAAAATTTCAGTCGAGCTTATACACTTCCCACCGTCAATAAGCGGCAATCGCGGTCAAAGCTCTGCAGTCTTATTTATCACAAATCACTCTCTCGCATCGTCACAAACAATTAATAATAAAAAAAGGAAGCACACTAGATATGAATGGCGACTGAGGTGGTGTTCTGCTGCTGGTTGTGCCTGTGCAGGTTTGAGTTATTGGACGGCGGCCGTTGACTCAAGGGCATGGGGGCGGCCGCGGCGGCCGCGCTCAAATTGTTGTTGCGGCGCTGGTTGTTGGGCACGTCGGGCAGCGCGTACCGCAGCTTCTCCCAAAACAACTTGTCACCCCACTGCAAATAGGTGTTGGTTTTAAGGTACAACCTGATGTCAGGGTCGAGGTCCCGATGCGGAATCTCGCCGAGCAGCACCACGATGAGACGGCGTCTGCGGTCGCGCAGCACCTGGTGGTGCGCAGACTTGAACTCGAAGCGACACCACTCGGACCGAATAAAGTTCTCGGACAACACCATGATGGTGCGCCGCGAGGACTCAACTGCCTGCACGATGGCGTCAGCCAGGTAGGCGCCCACAGGCAGGTCGCGGTAGTGCAGACACAACCTGTAAGCAGGATCGCCGCGCTCCAAAACGGGCGCCAACTCTTCGAGGACCCACGCCTCGTCCTTCGAGCTGTAACTGACGAAGGCGTCAAAGACCGCAGGCTCGGCGGCCGCCTTCTGGCACAACCGGACGCCGTACCGCGAGTAACACATCACCCTGAGTTCCTGTCTGTAGACAAACACGAGCACCACCACGATCAGCAGCAGCAGCACCGCCAGGGCCAATCCTGCAAGGACAGGCAGTTGATCCAGGTGCTGCGTCAGGATGGTTTTGTGCGTGCTAGGGGGGTGGTCTTCCTTCTCAACGACAGGCTCCGTCCGATTAGCACATTCTGGCTCCGTGATCGGCAGCAGGGCGTCTTCGGTGCCGTTGAAACAGTTCAACTCGTCCTTGACGATCTCCACCTGCGCCAACCACGGCTGCATGTCTTGCACGAAATCGCACTCGCAGGTCCAGGGGTTACGGCCGAGGGTGACGATGTTGAGTGACGGCAGCAAACTCAGCTTCCACGCGGCAAAACTGCTCAATTGGTTACCGTCAAGTTTCAATATTCGCAATTCCTTCAGGGTGGAAAAAGTGGCTTCATGAATTGCGGAAATTCGATTGTCCTGAAGAAAGAGTTCCTGCAGACTTTCACTCAGCCCTCCGTCAAACTCGTAGCCCTTCAGCTGGGTGATCAGATTTGATTCCAGGTGCAGGATCTTGAGCTCTTTGAGGCCGTTGAAGGACCTGTTGTGCAGAACAGCGATTTCGGAGCCGTTCAGGTACAACACCCTGAGCCGCTTCCTGCCGATGAATGCGTGACTGGGCAGGCCGTCGGCAAAAGTGTTGCCATCCAGGTACAACTGGGTTGCGTCCATGGGAATTTTGGTGGGCAACGCAGTGTGGTTTCCCGCCGAACAGTCAACCACGTTGGCCGACCACGCTTGGTCGTAGTAACACGTGCAGTTCTGCGGACACATCATTTCGCAGTCGCAGGCGTCAAAGTCGCAGCAGTGGCAAAGGGCGAAGCAGTGCGTCTCGTACTGACACAGGAACTGCGACGGTGACGCTTCAACCAGGGGTACGTAAGCGTGGCCTCGGTCGTATACGAGGCTGCAGTAGAGAGACTCGAGGTCTGCGACGCGCGGCTGGTTGCGTGCGCCGGCCACGTTTACGCGCTGCAGCCACTCAAGGGCGCAGTCACATTGGAACGGGTTGCCGCCAAGGAAGAACTCGGGCAAAGATTTTGACGCAGGCACAGACGTGATTCGTAGCGCGTTCGGCGTCAGGGAGGAGATCTTGTTGCCAAACAGGTCAACGCGTGTCAAATTAGGCTTCTTGAAGAAGGTGTACGCTTGCACCTAGAACAACAGAAAAAAGAAAAATATTAAAATTACTGTAAAATATTACAAAAAAGGAGATCAGAAATAAATTTGAAGTGCATTAATTAAAAATTATTTATAAATTTTTCCTTGAGGCTAATTTGTTGATTAATAACGGAAAGAAATTAATTAAAATAAAAAAGTTATTATTTTTTATAATTCTTTCATTATCTAGACAGTTTTTGTCCATTGATATTCATATATTTATGGCAGTAATATATTTACAATGACAAAATAATTTGTATCAATTTATTACAATTGTATTCCATTAATGCAATTAATCTTAAATTTAAATTGTCTTAAAATATATAGAATTTATTTAATGTTATATTAATGTCCATATTGATCAGAATAGTATACAGAATTGAAAAAAAAACTATCAGTTTCTTGAAAGCAATTATGTATATTTGTATAACTTTTAAAAATGCGATATTTTGCAGAAATATTGAAATGAAAGAGTTGAAAAATCAATTAATTAACCTAATTTTTAATAATTAATTGTTTGTTCAAATTGTACTTTCAAGTTAGTTTTAAGTTTCAAATTAAACACAAACGCATATTATAATTAAACTCATTATGTTTCCATCATTCTTAAAAATTTAAAATGCACATTATTTTTTGATAGTGTAAAACATGTTTGTATTTTCTCATAAATGAAGTTTGCGAGGCATTGGTGCGCGACATGATATAATTATTATTCCCAGTTTGGACGTGCGACAAAACATGTCTCTAGACGTCTCTTTTCCACGGCCTAATGCATCTTGTGCGGCTAATCGCAGTGCATCTGATACTTTGTGGGGTTGCATACAAAATGAGTGTCGCTATCAAGGTGAAAATGCACGTATCCAGTTTCGAGCGCAAGTGTCATGTCAAACAACGAATTTTTTTTCCGAATGCGAGAATAAATTTTGAATGCACGCCAAGTTTTTTTCGTATCGCGTTTCTTTGATTTGCATGTTAAAGTGCATTTTCACTTCATGTTGCAGTTTTGCATACGGACAATGAGCGACGCACCGGCCTTTTCAAAAGCAAGTCTTGTAACATTATATATTTGTGTGGGAGACGAATGTGTGCAGAATATTTCCAAGATACATATAAATGGCGCCGAATTGCGCGAGGATAAATGGTAATTTATGAGGCGAAAGATGCGGACCACCCATCCGCTCAAATAATTTGTAAAAGGGTCTCCGCTGCTGCCGGCGTCTCACACTTGTTACTTCCACTGATATAATCGGCATATTTATCAACCTGTGATGCCACAGACATTTACTTTGTTGTTTAAAAATTTTTGGCTTTCAAAATATTAATGATTTTCTGTTTACTTTTAGTGAATATAGTGGCAAAGACCGGTAAATACAAATAAATTGCAATCAAAAAATAAAATTTTTGTGAGGCAGAAAATTAAAAGAGAGAGGAACAAAAAGTGAGCCAACAGCTCGAATAGAGAAAGAACGCTCAGCTCCACAGCGAAATAGAGTTAGAGTAGGAAACTCACCTTGGATATCAAATTATCACTGAGGAAGAGAAGCTCCACACTGTCGGGTATAGCACTACCAGCAAGTTCGGAAAGTCGATTAGCACTCGCGTCGAGGGTGGTTATTTTGAGGGGACCCAAGTCCAGGTGGTTGGACAACTCAGTCAGACGGTTTGCGTGCAAATCCAGCCACTGCAATCCACGGGGGACTAACTCGAAATCAAACTTTGCCAGTGTGTTGTCCGAGATGTTCAGCCAAACCAATTTGGGCAACTTGTCGAATAATCTGTTTATGTCTGTAAGCTGATTGCCGTCCAGTCTTATTGCCTGCAACAATTCAAGAAAATAATTAATTTCAAAATTAGTTTATGAGCATTGAACTTAAAAAAGGCTAGAATGAATTGGAAGTGAATTTCCCACTGTGAATACGCATATGTATTTTTTATTTTGCTAAATTCACCAACTTACGCGGGAAAAATGAATCAAATATTTTTAACATACACATTACTGATCGAAACAATTATTTTTATCTGACTATATTGAATTTGTGGTTCATAATTTTCTTTCATATTATAATTATTTAATTTCTTTGAATCTCACACAATTTAAAGTGTCACTGAGGCGGATGTGGAACGTTTTAGCAAAATTCTTGCTCCTGGCGGTGCTGTTTTGTGCACCAATACATTTTTTTTTAAACATTCTATTAACAATAAATAAATGTATACAATATATTTGCAACAATCGGTAAAAATAAACAAATATTAAATCATTCTGAGTACCCCATCAGAAAGTATCTCTTTTAACAATGAAATAAAATAAAATTGTGTCAATCAGGTTCATAATAATAATTTGTCTTTCTCTTTCTCTCACACATCAAAATGATTTGTAATGCATGATCGATAATAATGAGGGCGATCCAAAAGCCTAACCTGGTCCAGGCTAACTTGAGTTAGCCCCGGGCTAATTTAGCCCACCAGCAAAATATAATGGCGGGTTAAATTAGCCCAGGCCAGGTTAAATTAGCCTGGGCCAAGTTAGCCTTTTGGATCGCCCTCAATATTTTTTATGTGATTACTATTTATAAAACATTTAAAATGTATTTAAATACATATAAGACATCATATCCCCTTTTTAAATTGAAAAAAAAAATATAGTTTTAGATTATTTGTGTTTAAATATTTGTAATTATTTTAGCTAAATTATTTTTATTTTTTAAATAAATGAATATATTGTACACTAATATTTACCTGAAGATTAGTGTTGCTGTCAAATGCCCCATGCTCCACTCGAGAGATTTTGTTCTTTGAAAGGTTCAATATTTTAAGGGATGGAAGTTTGGCCAGTGCTCTTGCGCTTACGTTCACTAAATTGTTTTCAGTTAATCTTAATCCATAAAGCTCTCTGAGCTCGCCGAAACTAGCATTGTCGATTGAAGAAATGAGATTTTCGCCTAGGTCGAGGGTGCTAAGCATTCTGACGTCGGCCAGCGCCCTAGGAGAGTCCATAAGACGGTTGGCGTTCAAGTGCAAATCGCGCAAACTTGACGCATTACGAAACGCATTTGGATGAATAGATCTGAGGGCATTAGAGTCCAATGATAGCAAGGAGAGCACCCTCAAGCCGGCGAGTGCCGTGGCCTCGATGGTGGCCAGTCTGTTGTGCGAAAGGACTAAAGTATGCAAATTGGCTAGGGCGGCAAAGCACCGTTCAGGAATGGCCTCAATGGCGTTATTTTCCAAACGGAGAATTTGCAAAGAGTAGAGGTCTTTGAAAATACTGCTTTCGAGTCTGGTCAGTTTGTTATGGGAAATGTCCAGCACCACGAGACGCACGAGTCCGGTAAAGGTGGCGCCGTTGACCCATTCAGAGGCGAGTTCATTTTGTCCGAGATTGAGCACCAGAAGCTGCTCCAGGCCGTTGAAGAGTCCGGGCGCAAGCACACTTATTGAATTGTTCTCGAGACGCACGTGACGCACTGCCCTGGCGTCTGAAAAGAGCTCCGGAGGAAGACTGGACACTTTATTGTCAGCCAGGTTCAACTCCTCGAGGGCGACTAGTCCCATAAGCGCCTTGTCTGCGACAAAACTGACGCCGTTGCCCTGCAACCGCAGTCGTTTCAGGGTGGAAAGGTTGGAGAGCACCTCCGGAGGCAGCGCCTCCAGACTGTTGTTGGACACGTCCAGCTCAACCAGGTTGGTGCCGCAGCCCTTGGTGCTGAACTGCAGGTGGTTGACCTCCCGAAGCCGGTTGCGGGTCAAGTTGAGCGACCTGAGCGCGGTGAGCGGGCAGAAAACACCCCTCGGCATTGTCCACATGTTATTTTCGGACAGGTCGAGTGACGTCAGTTGGGGTAGTTCGGTGAACGCGTCCTGCGCCAGCTCAAGGGCCATGGCGCTCCAGTCAGTGTTGTGCGTCCTCAGGGATAGCACTCGGAGCCGTTTGAGACCTCGGAATGCTCCGCTAGGAAGACTGCCAAGTTTGCAGAACTCGATGGAAAGCTCCCTGAGCTCAACCAGCGGCCGGAAACTGTCTGTGCTGAGCGAACTCTGGAAGAAAAGGGCGTCGCTGCACTCGATCCTCAGCAGGGCAGTGTGCTGCGGCTGGATCACGCTGAAGTTGGTGTGCTCGAGTTCGCTGTTGATGGTTTTCAGACGGCACATGAGCGCCACTTGCTGCTCTCCACTGCCGCCGCCCCCGACATCTTCCGCAGTCCCTTCCGGGGGCGGCGGGGGCGGCTCGAGGGTCACCCACCGGCACTCATCGGGCGCTGTGTAGCGCAGCGGCTTGCTCAGGCTCGCAGGCAGCACGCCGAAGATGGCGCCGCCCAGAAGGACGGTGAACACAAGGGCGCCCAGCTGCATTTGCGGCTAACAACTGAGTGCGCATATCACTTGAACTTTGCACCTTTGGAAGGTCCGGCGAAACACTCCGACACCATGGCCATACTCATGTGATGCTCGACGCGAACTGACTGAAGCGAGCAGACGGCCAAACCGGCTCTCTTGCTCTGTAACGAGCTTCCAATTTTCTCTCCCCTCCCCGTCGCCTCCCATCATACCTGAGCCAGGAACGCTAGAACAAAAAGGTTGCTCACTCTCTCGCTTGCTCGCACACTTGCATTTTCATGCTCTTCATAAAAATTGAGGAAAATAAAAGCTTATGATTATGAACTCCAAATGATTTTTTATTTAAATTTTAATAATTTGTAGATCTAACTTTTTCAGTTCTGAAATATGTTTTCAACTTTACAGGAAAAATTTAATTTTGAAGTTAAATAACTTAAAGATATTCATTTTTGTTATTTTTTGATTATGCTTTATTTGTAACGTTTAAAACTTAAATTTAATAGGAAGTAGTTAGATTGCTTAAATTAGTTTTCAATGTGTTCACAAATAATTATTTTTAAATACATTGATCAATTGCAACGCCATAAAATTAAAGATAAAATTTAAATTATAATTCTGTTTTTAAATATTTAAAAACAATTAAAACGATTTTTTTAAAGCTATCATCGCTGCGGTTTTTTAAATTTGCAATATTTATTAAAAACAGATCAATAAAATTATATTTTTAAAAGGAAAATCATTTTTAAAATTTGATTCCATAAAGTTATTTCTAAAACCTGGTTCGTTAAGCGAAGTTTGTTTGGGCGAATTTCAATCTTGGACTACCTATTAACAAAGCCTTTTCTTTCTCGCTCGTGCGTGCGTGTGGGGGTGCGAAGCCCTTTAACTCTGTACGTGACCGTGCCGCAGTTCTCCCTTCTCGGTTTACTATTAAATATATACCTGCGAGAAAGAGAAGTGGAAAAAATGCGCGACGCGCTTGCACGCTTCATAAAGCTTTCAGGTGTAATGAATTGTGACTGTAAATATGCATAAAGTGTGGGATTAGGCGCGAAATGGTGTGTTATTTGGACACCTGATGATCGCAGCTGGATTTAATTTTTCACATTCTTTTACCGTCTCGTCTGACTGGTCTCTAGGCTCAGCGGCACTCGAATTTTCAAGTGGCTCACAAAATGAAGGCACTTCGAATTTGTGCCTCTTCTTTAAATGTTAAAATTAATTGACGAAAGTGGAAGTTTAAGTGCCAAAGCTGGTCATGAAGCTAGTACCTGTAACTCAGCTTCAAAAATTATTTTGACACATTTTAGAAAAAATATTAAAATTGTAACATTATTTTGATATAGCAGTTCAAATTTATATTTTCTGCAAACTTAAAAATATTAATGCTTAATTAAATTTTCACCATTTTCACTATCAATTAACTTTCTTTTTTGCTCGATCCATTTATTTTTTAATTTTGTTTTTAACATTATGTATTTCAACCTGAATTATATAAAACTAGAAAAATTTACAGCATTTTTTTACATCAATGTATTAATTTTGTCTATTGTTCCAATGCACTTTTATGCGAGGCTTATTACAAAAATAAAAACAAAAAAGATGAAATGAATGTTTGGTTGAGATCGGGCAAGCGGGTCGTTGGCGGCGCAGACAAGTTGAGAGTTACCTGCGTGCTGCGATCACACCTTGGTTTCAACCTTGAGAGCCGCCAGCCGGCAAAAAGGTTCAGATTCTGTGTATGTAAGTACCTTCGGAGGAGAAGCTCATGCGTCCGCCGGTGGACCACTGGCATGACGTCACATATTATAACAAGAGTGCACCAGCGAGCATCCAACGAGCCGCCCGGCCATTGTGAGAGGGACAAGATTGAGATTTATATCGGCGGTGGGCTAAGAGCATTATATGAACCCACAGACCTTTTTATGCGGCGTACAACTGCTCGTAACTATTAATTATTATCGCACGGACCGAGATTTGACGAACAAGCCTCGTAGCCAGCTTGTAAGAGTGAGTGATGCACAAGAGAGGTGCGCCCGCTCGACATGACTTCAACTCTTGTTTGCGGACTTTTTTGCCCGTTGTTTCAGCTCGCGGATAAGTGCTCAAAATTCGCCACACATTAAATCGGTCAAGAAATTCCTATTCAATCTAAGCTCCATCAGTACATTTATCAATTATTCCATAAATTTTCCTGCTCCAGAAGGCACTGAATAAATTAAATAACAAAAAAAATCAGCGTTTCAAATTGCGTCTTTAAATTATTCTGGAAAAATAGTTTTTTAAGGATTCCTCTCTCGATTATTTTTCTTTTTGTAGATTATGGTGATTTTCGAGTTCATTGCATGTACCATGAAACAAGAATGGCATCATCACCTCGCTCTTTCTCTCTCTCTCTCTCCCATTTGCATCAAATCACGATCGGTAAACACCGTTAGGCTGACTGGCTAAACTGCTTGCTCACCCGGGGCCTGCTTGCTTGCTAGTTGCTCAACGGCGCAGAGGAAGCACCGGAGTGTATGTGTTGTAGCAAAAACAGCGATTCCGCTGTAAAATATTGGTCCAACAACAACAAACAAGCTGCGCGATGAGGCATACAACGTTTATGTAAGCGGGCAAAAGCTGGTCCGGCAGCTGGATGGGACCTCACGCTGCCCCTAATTAGCGCAAGACAAAGGAGAGCTTGTCGGCGGCTCCTTAGCACTGCCTCGAAGCGATTTTACGCGCCGTCGCCGCCACCGCCATCTCAAAAGCCCACATAATGACGATGCACTCGCTCTATTATGATAATTATTTTTGAGCTTAATAATATATCAGCTTGTGTGTTATACACTTGAAAATAATAACCTTTCTTGTCCTCTCAATCCAATGTAATAATAAAAGCCACGACCGTCCGTCACCCTTGCAATGTTTATGGTTTCCAAAAGACAGTTCCATTTTTTACCATCAAAGTGTGCTTTGGAGTGGCCGCATATTAGTTAATATGGGAAATATTTCATCCTAATTAAAAAAAATGTAATATGAAAAATTAAAAAAGTTCTTCGTGATAAGATTTTGCTCTAAATTTTTCCTACTTTCAGTTAAGAAAATAATAAAAATAATTTTGTTTTGAGATGCCAACCATGATCAGATAATTATGAAGAGATAAGAAAATTGTAATTAAATTAATGTTTATTGATACATACTAATTCCAGCTAAATTAGAATGTCACCTGCCCTTTCCTTCAGTGAAAGTTATTTTTTATTAACAAGAGCAAAGCATAAAAAATTATTTATATAATAAATATAAATTTTATTTAGAATTCTTTATATTTTATTTCTATGTAAGTTGCAAATTAACTCTTTGTTTAATAATTTAAATCGAAAACTAATTAAATAAATTTGATTTTTAACTAAATATATGAATCAAATATAAAACTTTTTGTTTTAAAGCTAACTTAAATAAATTTATTTTTATATTATAATGCATTTTAAACTTTAAATTACATTCTACAGTTGGCATTAGCCTTCATAATCCATTGTGCAGCGTTAACTGCTAACTTTAAAACAGCGGCCGGCATGCTGATTACAAATGCTGGAATTAATTTATTTCGTTGCAAGAAACAAAGAAAACGCCAAGGAGACGAGATGCCGAGTAATTGTCTTGCGCCTCGTAATTGCCTGTGGCGTTGTTTGAATTGTGGGCCATAATTTAGAGCACGATTTGCATGTAAATCAAATAACTGGATGTAATAAATTAGAACTCAATCATGCGTCCGTGTCGACTCCTTTTTCACAGACGCTGGAATGAGTATCTCGGAACTCTTGTGAAATTCCAACCATTTGCTGAGAAGCTCCTAAAAGGTTATTTTTGCAAACGTATACCAAAAATGCGCGAAAAATTTTCACCATATTTGCAGAGGCAATAAATACTTAACAGGAAACAAAGCTCTTTTTAAAAAGCAATACACATCTCTTTACACTTGTTCCAAGAAAATATAAATTTTGGCTGCTGCTTTCCAAAAAGCTCGTTAAGGCAATGAAGCATTTACGAAAAAACGACCACTTTCGGAGAGAGAGAATAAGTTGCTGCGCCGATTTGAAGGAAAATTGCGTGCAATTTTCGCGTCGTCCAAACGATTTGAAGTCCCGTTATGGCACCGACTAAAAGGTCGCTCTGCGGCTAAAGTGCAATTCGACCCTGCGTACGCGAGTCCTCATAATTCTATTCAGCACGAGCAATTGCATCGGCAATAATATAGTATGAAAGGTACGAGCAATTTGTTAGTGCGCAGAGCAACACAATGACTAATTCACTTCGAACTGGCACACAACTTTTTACAGCCGCACATCACGAGCAGAGAAATGCCATTCCTATATATATTAAACCCATTAAAAGGTGTATGGAGGACGACGTTTTATGGCACCTGTGAATGAGAAGATTCATTCGCAGTAAAACACACACGTCATAAGCCTGAAATTCGGAATTAAAGCGTGGTAATGCACCTGCCATCTCCAAGAGGGTTTGGCCAACGCTGCGGCCAGAGAAAAGAAAAGTATAACGCGCGTGCTTCCTTCCTCACAAACTATGCCGCCGCTTTTTATTTGAGCCGAGAGAGTATAAAAAAAATATATAGATGAAATGTGTTGGTGCGCCAGATAATAATATAACGTGCGTTGGTCGCTCTCGTTTTTTTCCTTTCTCACACACAATAAATTTCCTGGACGCTAATAAAAATTTGAAATGGACTGCCGAGTTGTTGTTTTTATCGTCTGCAACACAAACACACGCTCGATTAATAATTTTCGCTCCCCTTTCTCCATCATACACAAGCAACTTCCTTGTTATTTTTTTGGCCGATCGCACAGAAAATCTACGAAAGCGGCGCCGCCAGATAAAATAATAGAATCCATGCATAAATTTTCGGTCGGTTGGAAACGACGAATTTTATAAAATTGTCTCTTAATATTTCAACTGCTTTTCAATTTTATATTGAAATTTTAATTCTTCTCCACGCAAAATGTTTTTTTTTTTACAGAATGCATTAAAATTTTAGAGAAATTGAAATTTTGGTCTGGTTGCGCAATGTAAGAAATATTAAACATTCCAAAACTTTTTGATTGAGTGAATGAAATAGAATAAGTATTTTGGTTTTATTTTC